AAATTTTGGGAATATGTTGCCATAGATAGAGTCTTCTATTGTGTGAAGTTTGGGGGAAATTGGTCAACATCTAAGCTGTTTTTTGTACATTAAACCACATTAAGCTCCCCAAATAACAAGCTTAATGTCCCCCATTTTCTTTGTGGCAGGCCAAAATCTATGAAACGTCTAGGATATGTTCAGGGTGTTGAGAACTTGGGCTGTGCAAAGTCAATTGAGTTTATTACACATTCAGCTACATTAAGCCATTTTCACATTAAATGTTTTAGTCTGTCCATACAAAGGAGCAGTGGGAAGCTCATGTCCATAATGGGATGATATTGACACAGCTCCAAATGATCCACAATGGCTAAAAATGTATATGGTCAAGAAATATTTAGACAGAATAAAGGCGAATAAAGCACCTGTACCGGATGTCATACACCCACACATCCTAAAAGAATTGAGCTCTGTTATTTTAAAGCCATTGTTTCTAATTTTTAGGGACTCTTTAATGACTGGCATAGTACCACTCGATTGGTGTAAGGCCAATGCAGTGCCAATATTTTAAAAGAGATCAAAGTCTTTACTAAATAACTATAGACCTGTTAGTTTAACTTCTATAGTTGGGAAGATACTGGAGAGTTTAGTTAAAGACACATTGATGAGTTCTTGCTGGAAAAAAAAATATTTTAAGCAACAGACTTCATAGATTCATGAAAGGCAGAAGTTGTAAAACAAATATGATTTCTTTTTATGAGGAGATAAGCAAAACCTTAGACAAAGGAATGGCTGTGGACATAGTATACTTGAATTTTTCAAAAGTGTTTGACACAGTTCCAAATGGCTAATGTGTAAGTTAAAGTCTACAGGCTTGGCAAAATCAGTTTGTAAATGGACTGAAAACTGGCTAAAAGACCACATTCAGAGAGTAGTGGTTGATGATTTATATTCTGAATGTTCTAGGGTTGTCAGTGGTGTACCCCAAGGTTCAGTGTTGGACCCTTACTTTTTAATATATTTATGAATGATATAGGGTCTGGGATTAAAAGTTTAATTTCAGTCTTTGCAGATGACACCAAGCTATGCAGTAGAATAACATCCTTACAAGATGTCTCCAACTTACAAGCTGCCCTCAATGCACTGTTTAATTGGGCAACTATGTGGAAAATGAGGTTTAATGTTGATAAATGTAAAGTTATGCACTTGGGGGTTAAGTACATGCATGCACTATATATACTAGGGGGAGTACAACTAGAGGAATCAATGGTGGAGAAGGATCTGGGAGTTCTGGTAGATCGTATAATGGCATGCAATGCAGTTTCCAAATTTAGCAAAATCCTTTCTTGTATTAAAAGAGGTATAGACTTCAGAGAGAGAGGTGAGAGAGAGAGAGAGAGAGAGAGAGAGAGAGAGAGAGAGAGAGAGAGATATCATTGTACCCAGTTCAGTTTTGGGCACCAATTTACAAAAAGAATATTTGGGAACAGGAGAAAGTGTAGAGAAGGGAAACCAAACAGATAGGAGGGATGGAGGAGCTCAGCTATGAGGAAAGATTAGAGGAACTGAATCTATTTTCTCTTGAGAAGAGGAGATTAAGGGGGTATTTGATCAGCATGTATAAATACATAGGGGGTCCATATAGTGAACTTGGTGTAGAGTTATTCACTTTAAGGTCATCACAGAGGGACAGGGAGCACTCTTTACATCTGGAGGAAAAGAGATTTAATCTCCAAGGTTTTTTCACAGTAAGAGTTGTGAAAATGTGGGATAGACTCCCTCAATAGCTGGTTCTGGCTAGCTCAGTAGATTGCTTTAAGAAACTGGATACCAACATTTATAGGTAAAGTTGATCCAGGGAACATGTGATTGCCTCTTGGGATATCAGGAAGGGTTTTTTCCCCAGCTGGAGCAAATTGAATAATGCTTTGCTGTGTTTTTTTGCCTTCCTCTGCATCAACCTGTCACAAGTTAGCCTGCAGTTTCTTGTTTGTGTTCCTACCTTCTTGCTGCAGTCCTGTTCCTGATCCCTTCTCATGTGTTTGTCTGTGCTTATCTATGGGTGTCGTCTGCTGTCCTCTATGTTTTATTTCCTTCCTTTCCATCACTACCTGGCCCGCCTCCTTGTTTGCCTGTCTATATAAGACATGCACAGACTAGGCCACTTTGCCTGAGCAACTTTCTAGTTGTTGGAGCTCCCGTGTGTTACTACTGTCTGAATCCTACATTGACTAATTGTGTACCGACCCCGGCTTTGTTCTCTGACCTTGCTGGTTTTTTCGCCTGTCCTGACCTTGGCTAGACTATCGGATTACGTTTGTCTCCTTATACTCTGCTCCCGAGAGCGGTCTCCTCAACCTCAGCTGGGTGTGCCTGGGGGCCGCGACCTGGTCCCAGCTTGCTGCAAGTCCAACCCCACAATCAGGGGCTCTGGTGAAGAAGCAGGCTGGGGCTTAGACTCAGCGCTCTGGGGAACCCCAAGTTGAGGATCAGCAAGAGCTCACTACAACAGGTGCTGACACAACCATAGGGTATTGGATTTTTTTTCCTTTTATAGGTTGAACTAGATGGAATTGTGTCTGCTAAGTAACTATGTAACAATACATGTTGTCATCTGCATGGACTTATGTCCAAGGGAACTACTGAAGATTAAGTTATTTGATCTATTTGGAACTCAGTGGACCCAGTTTGTGTTTATGGATAAGTTGAATAAATCTTCCTATAGGGTTCGGCACTTTAAGTTTGCTCAAAGTCCCCTCACAGATATGATAGAACCTGAAACCAGTGGCTTGCAATTTATCACCTAATTACATAGTTAAATAGTTAGTCTGGCTGAAAAAAAGACAAAAGTCCATCCAGTTCAACTATTGAAAAAAAAGTTATAATCCTATACCCGAAGTTGATCCAGCGGAAGGCAAAAAAAACCCAGCAAACCAATTTTGCTCCTGCAGAGAAAACAATTCCTTCCTGATCCCCCGAGAGGATATCGGATATTCCCTGGATCAACTTTACCTATAAATGTTAGTATCCAGTTATATTCTGTGTATCTAAGAAAGAATCCAGGCCTTTTTTAAAGCAATCCACTGAGCTGGCCAGAACCAACTCTTGAGGGAGTCTATTCCACATTTTCACAGCTCTCACTGTGAAGACACCTTTCTGTGTTTGGAGATTACATTTCTTTTCCTCCAGACGTAAAGAGTGTCCCCTTGTCCTCTCTGAAGACCTCAGGGTGAATAGCTCTACACGGAGTTCACTATATGAACCACTGATGTATTTATACATGTTGATCATATCCTCCCTTAATCTCCTCTTCTCAAGAGAGAATAAATTCAGTTCCTCTAATTTTTCCTCATAGCTGAGCTCCTCCATGCCTCTTATCAGTTTGGTTACCCTTCTCTGTACTTCCTCCAGTTCCCCAATATTCTTTTTGTAAATTGGTTCCCAAAACTGAACTGCATATTCCAGATGAGGCCTTACTAATGATTTGTACAGGGGTAAAATGATACATATATAATGATCTCTTGTGCTGTCACAAAAGTGCCATCTCTTAATTTAGAGAATTGAGAAATTGAACGACCAGTCGTCCAATTTTTTACAAAGAAGTGCGTCTATGAAGTCAGAATGAAATTGAGAGTTTTACAAAAATTTTTTTAAAAAGTTTTACATATTATTGTAGTACAAAGCAGAAGTGATGTAGTGTGAATGACCCTTCTGGGCCACATCTGCTAATTTTGTTAGCAGTGCTTTTGTAACCAAAGTTTTGTTCATCTGAGGAATCGTACAAGTAACAATCATGAGGGCAGACAACAATGCTTTTGCTGTAGTTGACCTTGGATTAATGGCTCTAACCAGAGTGTTTTGAAAGAAAAGCTGAAGAGGAGCACATGGAGCAAAAATTGGTTGCTTAGCTGTGAGCAATTTTCACATATGTCCCTGCTGTGGGAGCTTCAGGTAAACAATTCTGATGACTTCAGGAATTACCTCAGGATGACTGGCAACTGCTTTAACCAGCTTTTAGCAGTGGTGACCTCCTATAATTGGAAAGAGAATACAATTATGCAAGATGCAATTAATCCAGAGCAAAGGTGAGATGCAAGATAAAGGTAGAAGCCTTCAGGATCTAAAATTTACCACTGGGATCTCACCACAAGCTCTGGGCTTCAGCATTCCTGTGACCTGCTGTGCCATTATTAAAGTGCTGCAGAAGAAATATATCAAGGCATGTTCCATTGTCCTACATATCACATTGTAACATTGCATCTGTTTGTCATGGAAACAGTAAATGTGTGCTTTCATTTTTTGCTTATAGTTACATAGTTAGTCTGGCTGAAAAAAAACAAAGGTCCATCCAGTTCAACCATTAAAAAAAAAGTTATAATCCTACACCCACAGTTGATCCAGAGGAAGGCAAAAAAAACCCAGCTTATGTCACTTAATTTTTTTATTTTGTTTGTTTTAACCAGTTAACATCCACCCTATAGCAGTTTTACTGCTACAGGGTGGACTCCCTGTGAAAAATCACACACATATATATATATATGAGTGAGGTCAGGCTCTGATGTCGGAGGAGAAGGCCTGGCTTGCAGTCTCCACACCAATTAATCCCAAAGGTGTTCTATCGGGTTGAGGTCAGGACTCTGTGCAGGCCAGTCAAGTTCCTCTACCCCAGACTCGCTCATCCATGTCTTTATGGACTTTGCTTTGTGCACTGGCATGCAGTCATGTTGAAACAGGAACGGGCAAATCCCCAAACTGTTCCCACAAAGATGTGAGCAAAAAATTTTCCAAAACGTCTTGTTATACTGAATAATTAAGAGTTCCCTTCACTGGAACTAAGGGGCCAAGCCCAACCCCTGAAAAACAACCCCCACACCATAATCCCCCCTCCACCAAACTTTACACTTGGCACAATGCTATCAGGCAAGTACCATTCTCCTGTCAACCTCCAAACCCAGACATGTCCATCGGATTGCCAGACAGAGAAGCATGATTCATCACTCCAGAGAACACATCTCCATTGCCTAGAGTCCAGTGGTGGCGTGCTTTACACCACTGCATCCAACACTTTGCATTGTACTTGGTGATGTAAGGCTTGGATGCAGCTGCTTGGCCATGGAAATCCATCCAAGGAATCTCTCCACACTGTTGTTGTGCTAATCTGAAGGCCACATGAAGTTTGAAGGTCTTTGTCTATTGACTCTGCAGACAGTTGGCCACTTTTGTGTATGCACTGACCCCACTCTATCATTTTACATGGCCTATCACTTCATGGCTAAGTTGCTGTTGTTCCCAGTTTCTTCCTTTTTGTTATGATACCACTAACAGTCGACCGTTGAATATTTAGTAGCAAGGAAATTTCACGGATGGACTTATTGCACAGGTGGCAACCTATCACGGTACCACACTTGAATTCACTGAGCTCCTGAGAGCAACCCATTCTTTCACAAATGTTTGTAAAAGCAGCCTGCATGCCTATGTGTTTGATTTTTTACACTTGTAGCCATGGAGGTGATTGGAACAACTGAATCCAATGATATGGAGGGGTGTCTTAATACTTTTGGCAGTATAGTGTATATACACAGGGTCTCAAAAGATGTTAGGTAATCAAGAAACTGGCTATCACATTTTGAGAGACCCTAATCTGGATGTTACAGTTTAAAAAAAAGTAAAAAAAAAAATAAATAAAAACAAAAATAGTTGTCATTTTATTGAGTTACTGTTTTATTGTTAACCATTGCTGTTCTCTTTGCAGGAATGCCATTCAGTTGCAGCACTAATCTGTTTATTCTGACAGCAAGAGGGTCTTGCTTTCAGAATATACATAAGTGTGTGCAGTGCTGTTGTATGAGATTTTTCATCCACAGTTAAAAAAAAAGAACATATACCCAAGCATGGGGGTCTGGGGTGGCCAGTGGGTGGATCAATCCTATGCTTTGGCATATATATTTTACAATATTTCTTGGCATGGTTTCAATAAAAAAGTTGTTTTATTGAGTTACTGTTTTATTGTTAACCATTGCTATTTTCTTTGCAGGAATGCCTTTCAGCTGCAGAACTGTTCTGTTTATTCTGACAGCAACAGGGGGTCTTACTCTCAGAATATACATAAGTGTGTGCAGCACTGTTGGATGAGATTTTTCATCTGCAGTTAAAAAAGAACATATATGCCCAAGCAAGGGGGCCTGGGATGGTCAGTGGATGGATCGCTTCTATGTTTGAGCATATATTTTAAAAAAATTGACATAGATTTCTTCATCCACATCAATCGTGACTAGAGGAATCTAGTAGGTTTCTTTTTTTTTTCACCTCACGGGCTGAACAAAAAAAAAGGACATTTAATTTAGCCCACCATTAGGAGAGGGTAGATGCATGGTGGTATTTTCTTTTTTTTTATATTAACAATTTTTATTGGTTTTTGTGAAATACAAACAATATATTTCAAAGAATCAGAAGAGAAAATAAACATAACAGAAAGGTACATCGATGGCAGAGTTAAATAGGGTCAGGACCAGCTAAATCATAATTAACAGTGTGAAAAATATCAGGGCCTTGCAATGTGGGCCGGCATAGAAGAAGTGAAAGTATCCCATGGGAGCCAAATCATCTCAAATACAGCAAACGAACAACTATGTAGTGCAGTCAAATATTCCATCTGTCTTACATCAGCAATAAGTTTGTACAAAATCGGCATTGAAGGAGGATCAGAGGACAACCAACACATAGGAATGCTTCTCCTGGCCGCGGTCAGCACATGGACAGCAAGTTTCCTGGATAATTTAGGTAGTCCTGGGAATGGTAAACCCAGCAAAAAATGTAGTGGATCAAGTGGGAGAGAGACACGCAGCAATGAATTCAGCAAGGAGAGAACATCCTGCCAAAAAGGAGCAATGGAGCTGCATGTCCAAAAAATATGATAGAGAGAACCGAGGTCTCTACTACAGCGCCAGCAATCAGGAGAAGCATTCAGATTATAAGCATGCAGAACTTCAGGTGTTTTGTACCATAACATCATGATCTTGTAAATATTTTCCTTAAAAACCACACAGACAGAAGATCTAGATGCATTTTCCCAAATTTTCTGCCATGTCAATAAATCAATATCGCATTGTATAAATTGAGACCACCTACGCATATAAAGGTGAGTATTGTTGGATAAAGAGGGGGCTTCCATAAGAAGTTTATATGTATTAGAGATTATACCCCTGTGATGGGGACCCTGCATACATAGACGTTCGAAGGGAGTAGGCTTCCCCAGAGTCAATGAAGGTGATAAAGTGGAAAAAAAGTGGCGTATTTGAAGAAGATAAATATATAGGTGTTGAGGAGGTAAAAGGGCTTTTTTCTGGAGAAAACTGGGAATGAGTGTAACTTACGAGTCACCGGGTGTACCAAGTGACGCAATTGAAAAAGGTTAGCTACAGCCCAATGAGACATCCGGGACATGGCCATGTTGTCTGGGAGATTAGGGTTACAGAGGATATTCGTCAGTGGGGAGCAATCAGAGGCCAGTGAAAATTTAGCCTTACATTTCCGCCAAACAGTCAGAGAAAATTGCATGGGACCAAGGAATAAATGGCGAAAGGAGGAGACATCCACTGCTGAGGTCGACCAAAGGAGGAGAGAACATAGATGGGCTGGGGACAGTTGCAAGGATTCGATCTCAGTCCATGTGTTGGGAGGATAATGGGAAGACCATGACATGAGAAAACGAAGGTGAGTTGCGTAGTAATATGTTATTATATCCGGAGCCCCCAAGCCCCCCCTAGATCGTGGGGATAGCAAAACAGAACGTGCAATCCTGTGCCGCTTGTTGTGCCAAATAAAATGCAGGAAAGATTTCTGAAGAGAGTGGAGTTTGGACATAGGAACGGAAACGGGGAGGGTCGCAAACAGGTATAAAAGTTTAGGTAACACTGTCATTTTTAATACATTAATGCGTCCGAGGAAAGAAATGGGCAGAGCATCCCATTGTTTCAGGGAGCGAGAAATTGCAATAAATAGTGGAGGGAAATTGGCCTCGTATATGGATTGGTAAGAGGAAGTAAGATGAGTACCTAAATATTTTAAAGAATGGGTGCACCACCGGTAGGGAAAAGCTTCCTGAAGCGAGGATAGAACGGCTGGTGAGACGTGTATTGGGAGTGCCTCAGTTTTAGACGTATTAACTTTGTAGCCTGATATAGCCCCAAATTGTTTCAAGGTCAGATGCAAAATCGGTAAAGAAGTAAAGGGACTCGTGAGTGTGAGGAGAATGTCGTCAGCAAACAGCGATAACTTGTACTCATGGGTATGGGAATGTATCCCGCGAATATCCGGATTCGACCTGATGGATGTGGCCAACGGCTCCAGGCAAAGAATAAACAGTAAGGGAGAGAGTGGACAACCCTGACGAGTGCCATTGGACATCTGAAAAGGGAGTGAGAGAAAAGAGGCTAATCTGACCTGCGAAAATGGGGAAGAGTAAAGGGCCTTCAAGGCTGCTACAAATGGGCCTCTGAAACCAAATCTCTCCAAGACCATGAACATGTAAGGCCAACTTAACCGGTCGAAAGCTTTTTGAGTGTCTAAGCTCAATAACACAGCAGGGGTGGAAGATCGGTTAACCAGATCAACCAGATCAATAGATCTCCTGGTGTTATCTGCAGCATGTCTGGAAGGTACAAAGCCCACTTGGTCCCTATGTATGAGTTTGGAAATGATTCCAGACAATCGGTTGGCTAAAATTTTAGTGAAAATCTTGTAGTCGGAATTAAGTAGTGCAATCGGACGATAGTTGTCTACAATAGAGAGATCTTTATTGGGTTTAGGGATAACCGAGATATAGGCACGTGAAAAGTCAGTCTGGGGTGTGACCCCTTAAAAAGGTCGCTATAAAGGGAAAGAAGATGGGGAGCCAGGATACCAATAAAGGATTTATAATAAGAGTAGGGTAATCCATCCGGACCCGGGGCCTTACGAGAGGGAAGATGTTTAATTGTGTCAAGTAGTTCCTTTAGCGTAATGTCAGCATTAAGGATGGCAATGTCTGGGGGTAATAGTCTCGGAAGTGACAAGGAATCAAAAAAGTCGTCAAAGGATGACTGTGTGAGAGGCGGGTGAAGGTCTGGGGTCAAACAGTTATACAGTTTCTCATAGTATGAGCCAAAAAGGGTTGCCATGACCTGAGGATCATAGGTAGGGCTTCCGTTTGGTTGGATTAAAAGATCAGGCATCGTAGAAGGAGACTGAGCTTTAAGTCGATTGACTAACATACGATGGGGTTTGTTGGAAAATTCGTAAAATTTCTGTTTAACCCACAGGAGGGACTGTGCAGACTTACTGGAGTCAAGAGTTTTAATGCGGTCACGGAAAAAATGTTACCCTCCGGAGCCCAGAAACGGACGGCTTGGCCATCAACCGTCGTTCCGCCAAAGATAGTTGACGTACAAGAGAGGCCCTAGCACTCGCCGCAGATTTCTTTAAACGCGAGCCCATAGAAATACAGAGTCCTCGAAATACCGCCTTATGGGCCTCCCATAAAGTTGAGGAGGAAGCTACGGAGCCAACATTATGGGTAAAATAGGTATCAAGTCCCCGAGACAATTCATCCCTAAGATGGTCTGTAGTGAGGAAAGTCTCATTAAGGCGCCAGTGACATGGTTTGGATATAGCAGGAGGAAAGAAAAGGTTTAAAGTCAGAGAGGCGTGGTCAGACCAGGTAATGGGATTAATTTCAGAAGTGACCAAGAGTGGAAGCAGTGGGGCAGAGATGAAAAAGTGATCTAAGCGAGAATAGCTACGGGGGGGTGGAGTAGAAAGTAAATTGTTTATGGGTGGGGTGTTTAATCCGCCAAGCGTCGAAGAGACGATGCTCCCTTATCAGTCTACGAAAGGATTTTGAAGAGGAGCATTGCCGCTTTGAGGGTGTGGATTCAAAAAGAACTTTCCTGTCCTTATGGGGGGAAAAAATCAAATTAAAATCACCCCCCACAATCACATGCGAGGTGGAAAAAGAATCTAAGGTAGCTAGTGTTTGGGAAAGAAATTGCAATTGACCCGTATTGGGGGCGTATAAATTCAACAGAACAAGGGGAGTGTCACCAAGCATACATTCCAAAATAATGAAGCGACCTTTTTGGTCAACTTTGGAGGAAACAACCCGAAGGGAGCAGTGCGACCCAATCAAGATTGCCACCCCAGCCTTCCCGGAGGGATCGAAGGCCGAATAGGCTTGGGGAAAAAACCTTGAGGCAAAACGAAAGGAACCAGCTGATTTGAAATGGGTCTCTTGGACAAAAATAATGTCTGCTCCTGAGGATCGAAACTCCCTCAAAGCCATCCACCGTTTTTGAATGGAGTTGAGGCCCTTGACATTATATGACAGAAACCTCAAAGCCATTATAAAATAACAAGGATTGAAGCAAATGTGTTAGCATAAAAAAGGAATGAAATACCATCGATGTAATAGAATAAAAAACAAAAAACAGTAAAATAACACATGAAAGTATAAACACAGAGATTGACATAAGTATCCGTGAGGATATAAACTTGGGATCAACAAATTGGCCCAAGTCGTCTAGGCCTATGGCTAGACAAAA